TCTTAAAAGATGCCCTATTCCATATATGCAAGTGACTAAATATTTAAAATTTATCTACTTTCCCCATGGTTTACGTAAAATAAGATATGTAGACTAAGAGACTCCGGATGAGTTCCAAAGGTGCCAGTAGTAAGGTAAAGGTTCTTAGCATTGAGTTCGAGAACTCAATGCCCACGATTAGTCCCGATTAGTAATATAAGGGTTTTTATTTTTGATTGCAGGATACCCGAGAGACCCAGGATGAGTTCCGATGGTCCCAGTTGTCGTAAGGCAAAGGATTTTGGATTTGATTCCCGGAAAACCGATTAAAATAACTTGGTCAGCAGCTGGAAACCTTTGACCATGCTGAACTAAGATGCAAGAATCATCTGATTATCCTTGCATCGTGTTGATATAGAGTGAATGTGTGAAATATAACCAGGTAAAGGCAAAATATAATGTTGTAATTTCAATAATTTTGACTTTGGATGAAAGGCAATAATGAGTTATGTATATTATCACGTGGGACCCCAGTAAATCTTATGAAAAGAGTTATTGATGGAATGATCAGCACAAGGCCATGTGCTTATTCAAAACTTGGTAAGTTAGGATAGTTTTATTGTCATGGCTGAACACATGTTTTTGTAAGTAAATCCATGTTGATATAGAGTGACTGTGTGAAATATAACCAGGTAAAGGCAAAATATAATGTTGTAATTTCAATAATTATGACTTTGGCTGAAGGTCCCACATGATATTATGTATAATATCATGTGGGACCTTCAGTAAATCTTATGAAAAGAGTTATTGATGGAATTATCAGCACAAGGCCATGTGCTTATTCAAAACTTGGTAAGTTAGGATAGTTTTATTGTCATGGCTGAACACATGTTTTTGTAAGTAAATCTATGTTGATATAGAGTCAGTAAATCTTATGAAAAGAGTTATTGATGGAATTATCTGCACAAGGCCATCAATAACTCTTATTCAAAACTTGGTATGTTAGGACAGTTTTATTGTCATACGGAAGACATGTTTGTGTAACTACAGGGTGATTATCAAAGGAAGAGCAGCAAAACCTTTTTTGCTTTTGCCTGATGGAAGTGTTACATAAACACAAAGGGGTTTCATAATTAGAGACAATCAATTATGAAACTCATCCAGTCTGTCTGTCTATAGGGATGGAAAATGCTAAGAAATACCCAATTATGTGAAAGGGTGTAGGAAATTAGCAATGCAGTTTTTAGTATTGCCTCAATTCCCTCCGCCTCACACATGTGAACAAAAACATAAGTTGATGTTTGACAACCCACTCAGGGTATGTTATAACTTTGATGCAAGACATGTAGGTTTGAAGACCTACCTGCTAGTGTCAATGTTGGTTATTTTAGTATTGCCTCAATTCCCTCCGCCTCACACATGTGAACAAAAACATAAGTTGATGTTTGACAACCCACTCAGGGTATGTTATAACTTTGATGCAAGACATGTAGGTTTGAAGACCTACCTGCTAGTGTCAATGTTGGTTACAATTGTTACAATCTGTACTAGAGAACATCAAAACATATGGTCAACTATGCAGTTCCAGTTGGGCGTAGTTGACTAACAAAGTGACATAGGTTTCACTGAGGTTACACCTGAAATATAAATGTATTTATATTTCAGGTGTTGCCCAACAAGATAAGTATCACTCTGCTGTTATCGTGCCTACTCACAGTGAATGAGGATTCACTGTGAGTAAGTTTCTGACCAAAAAGCTCAGTGAACACTCACTGGGCGGTGGTAATCCTCAAATATGTGAGATTAAATGAGACAGTGGTTCAGGTTAAAGTGGGTTAAAAGTTTCCTCAGGTTTATGATAAGTAATGACAGAGAACACGTGATCACCAACCACGTGAGATCAAATCAGATAGTGACAGACGAAGTAAGTGTTTGAACTACAAACTGAGTATAACCAAGTAAGTTGTTTCTCACATTGTTCATAGTCGTACTAAACCAGAAGGTTCAACCCAGGAGTCAGGTGTGAATGATGATTAATAAATAAGTATAACAATAAGTATCTTGTGGGGTGTGTTTTGTCGCACATCATAAATGTGCGAGTGCCCTCAAGAACAGGAAGTCTTGAGTGATTGTTGCAAATATTGATGAATGTTTGCAACAATCAAATGGTTTATGCACTGCTGCATAAAATGCTGCAGTGCAAATTGTTCACGAGCAATGAGATATGATATCATTGCACAAAACACAAAACACAAAACACACATCACATTCCACTAAGTAAGCTATTCCATGATTAGATTTCTCAAATCTGGGGACCTAAACACATCTTTTGATAATACAAAGATGCAAAATTTCTCAGTTTTATTATACTAATGAACTTGGTAAGAAACCTAAACCATGTATGGATTTTCTCAAAAATGGGGGACCCAAATAAAATTTTTTATATTTACATTTCATGTGAATTTTTTATAATAATTTAGGATATAAGCATAATTATATGCTTAATAATCATTGCCCAAGACTTCACCATTTCATGTCATAGAGATGGTCATACCAATGGTCTTCTTCTT